CCCTGCACATATCTTGCCCTCAGTCATTACTTCAGACCTTGGAGGTATAACTATTCTATTGACCAAAGCAATCTTGTACTCTCGTGCTGTACCCTCCATCTGAATTGGATGTTCTATCCCTGAGATCTCAACCTTGTGTGTGCGCATATTTATGATAGCTTCATACTTGACAAGAAAATCTAAACCAAGAATTCCATCTACAGATATATCCGCCACTATCATCTCATGCTTCAGAGTTGTTCCATTTAGCACGAGTTCTATAGATGTTTTACCATATATCTCTACACAGGATCCATTTGCTGACAGGACGTCCCTGTCTACTTTCTTTAAGGAATGATTGTCTCCTTGTATGTTTTCAAAGCATACTTTCGATAGTAAGGAAACAGTGGCACCTGTGTCAATGAGCAGATAGGTATCCATCCCACATACTTTGGCAGTTACATAAGCTCCTGTTTCCTTGATAGAATGAACAATTCTAGAGTGTTCATCAGTCTTTTGCGTTCTGGCTTGGGTCCGGTCATCTGACTTATGCTCAGTCATGCCTCTCATCTTCTGTCTAGGTTCCGGGAGAGAGGTTGTATCTTTAAGCATGGGACAATCTCTTTTCAGGTGTTTGTCAGAACCGCATTTGTAGCATCTTCGAGTACTAATACCATTTCCTGTTGTTTTCTTAATTTCATCTCTTGTCTGCCTTGTATCGCGTCCATTCCTTTGCATTTGAAACTTCCATTGTTTCATGTCCTTTATCTCCCTTTGAAGAGATTGCATATTCTTCTCCATGGTCTCTATGAATTTATCTATCTTTGACCCCTGACCCGAGTCTTGATCCATGCTTCTGACATTCTCGGTGCGACGACTTTCTGCTTTATAAAAAGCCTCGAGCTCAACAGCTCTTTGTATAGCATCATTAAAACTGCTAGGTCTTGACTGTTTGATCTTAAGACGCATTTCTGCATTATGCAGTCCGTCTAAAAACTGTTCAGTGGCAAGAATCTCACGTACATCATCCGGTGCTGTAGGATAGGCTAGGTTCACAAGCCTCCGTATATCTTGGCCCATCTCTGGTAAACTCTCTGATGGTTTTTGTCTCCTTTCCCTGAGCTGAGTCCGATACAGCTCAGTCTGGTTCAGTGGGGCAAACCGATCCTGTAAGCATTTGACTAATTTTCCATAGTTCTGTCTCTCATCCCTGGGCTGATTACCGAGCACACCTTGTGCTAGCACTCTAAGAGACGCAGCTAAATATAACCCCTTTTCCGTCTCAGTCCATTCATTCAAGAGACTAACAGACTCAAAGTGAGACAAATAGTCATTCCACATACTGGAACCGTCATAAGTCGCAGGTTTAATAAAATTCCTGGGCCTTGATCTATTCCGATTTTGATTTGTATCTGTCGCCGGATGAGTACCGGTATTTGTGCCACGTGCCGAATGCTGTCCTCGGTCTCCAGACCTATCATCAGTCTCATCACATGTGCATACATCCTCAGTACTTGCATTATCAAGCAACCTATCTGTCCGTCTTGCAAACGGAGTACCCGTCCTTGTTTGTTGTATGCGTCTTGGGACACTGGTAGCATTTTCCTGTAGACCTATCATTCGCATAGACTGCTCTATCTCCCTATTCAGATTTTCTATTTGTCTTTCTATAAGCGTTATGTCATGTAAACTTGACATCGTGAAAACAAAGCAAATTAACAAATATCATAAAATATGATTAACAAATCGGATCCAACCCAAATCCCGACGCTGCCGCCAATTTTTGTAACGTGTATGGGTCCGTGAATTTGAGTATAGATCCTTAATCAACCAAATGAATTAAACAAATGATTATGTAAACAAGAGATAGATCACTAATTAGACAAATGATTTGAAATGATAAATGACAAAGCATATATGAAAAACAACGAGTCAATATATACATATATTATAAGGATTTCCTATCCTTAACATAAACAACAATTAATGGGCATGTATCTGGTCTGTGTCCTGGATGTATCTGTACCAGTATCAGGACAGGTATGTATCCGATCCGGGACTCGGATAGGTCGTTGACATGTACGTTTCAGGTTTCTGTCTTATACCCAGACAGATGAAATAATTATAATGAGGTAAATTATCGCTTTATTCCCTCAAAATACTATAATACTTTAGACCCAGTATACTAGCCACCGTATACTGTATTAAATCCTTTAAAATCCCGTACCTTGCAATTACGCTTTTGCCGACCGTAACTTGTGAGCTCCAACTGGCAACTGCCAGCTTTCAGCAGAACGCTCTTATATATAGTGATGATCACCCGGACTACCCTCGGCCGCTATCGTAGCGCACTACGATAAAGTCCGGGTGACGTAATTCATCTAGCATCCCGAGCCCGATCTGTCACACTATTCATGCTTTATGAATCAAATCAACAGAGAAACGTAAACTTCCTACGCAGGTGATAAAAGTATATTTTTACATATACATGTAAAAGGGGATATTTGAAGATAAGTACATCAGCTTATCATAAAGTTTGGTTTTTAGTTTGTGATCACTGCCTTTCAGTAGTAAATACAGCTATGTTAGACTCTGTGGTGACTGTGTTAGATACATCAAATTGATAAAACTGCATAGACATGTACAATGTATCCTTAAAATTGTAAAATGACTCCATTGTCCAGCCTAGTGAACCCACTTGAGAGTTATCTTATAAAAACTCTGCATAGTCGCAAAATTACAAAACAAACATTTCTAACTGGGTACGAGGGTTGTAGCTAGATTATAAAATTATTATATAAATGCAAATGTAATTTATACTTAACCTTTTCCTAACCTTTTTAGTAGACTAGAGTTCTTAAGGAAAATAATCTAATACATAATATTTGTTTACATTTTTGGAGTTTGTGTAAACAATCTTTAGGTATAAAAATATAATCAGATAATTTTTATTTTGCGGAGTATAATTTTATGGTGCAATAAAATGCTGATTCGATTTGTAGTGTATAATAAATATACTACATATTTCTGCGTGATCCCGCTAGAGTTTTGTGCAAAAGATTTTCCACGAAAAAAAATCTTGAAAATGTGAAAGCTAGATTAAACAAACAAATGTATCCTTAAACTGTAAAAAAAAGTGACAATTCGGAATTTTTAATTGGCCTTCGGATTCTATTGATACTCATATTAGAACGTGAGTCCCAAATGTTTCCCATTCTCTCAGTTAGTCCGCTGATTTCAATGCTTGTACATTAGAAGACAATCAACCCTGGGTGTTTTAGACGGCTTTACTTCATCTTGGTTATGAAAAAAATTATTAGCTCTACAAGTAACAATGAAGTAAATATGAATAATAGAAAGGTCCTTTTTGGTCAAAATCATCACAGGAGAGCTTAACAAACCTGATTGATTCAACGCGGCGTAGAATTGTCTCTTTATTGTTATTTTCTGCAGCTAGTCATCATTTTAAAACAGAAGGGAGCCAACACCAGCCCCTTAAAACGAAGGTGTTACAGATGTCAACGGTATATATCTTATTTCATTCATGTAATAATTATGTGTCTACGTCAATGACAAAAATCAAATCTTTATGAGAATGCCAAAGTGTTATAATGCGGCTTTAGTTGATGCAGTGTTTAAATATCCCCGTCAACAGCATGTCAGAGTTCTGAGGGGGGTATTGTCTTATAAGTACCCTTAATATATAATACATACAATGCCTGAGCTGATTTAATTCACCGCGGACACAATAGTCTTCATCTTCACTGCAGTGTTCGATAGAGATCACGCTGATGACCCTGTAGACGTCCTAACCCCTCTCTGACATTCTGTATCGTCTATGTAAGGGGGCGGGGCGGAGACTGCAACTCCAAATTAGTACACCCCCTGATGAAAGCTCATTGGAGCGAGAGACATCCGCACTCGGAAAGGGTCATTGGTTTATTAATCTAAGCCTATTATGGAATGTAATTCTTTGTGTATCGTTTGCTATTAATGAGAGTTCCTCTGCACATTGTGGGATCGTTGGTTCGACAGACATGGCGCTGGCACCCCAACCCAACCCTGACTTTACCAGTGAGACGATTCTCCGGAGGTATCGCCCGCTAAGTCGACACAAGTAAGACTGTCAGGATTCAGTTATATTGTTTTCTGTATGTTTTATCTAACAGCAGCCTAGCCTTTCTTTCCATTCTTGTAAAATTATAAGGAAATACTAGTCATAATATATAATATTAAAAGTTTACTTTCTTGTATTTTTTCCCAAATTATATGGCAGATTTACAATAGAAAACTAAGAAAATTCAAAGATTTGTCACTTTATTTCAGTATTGGGGGCTATGAGTACGTATTGTCATTAGATATTACCTTATACATAAAAGCACTTTTTTTTCCAAGATGATTGTAGTTGATTCTGAATTTATCACTATTTCAGTGTGGAGTAGAATAGCCCTTGCAACATAGTTTATTTATTTAGCCAGTCACTATATATACCTTTCTTTTTACGCTTAATACGAGCGCTCACTTCTACTTGTTTTTCCTTCGCACTTGTTTCGTGTGTTTCCATTCTTGGCAAAGAAAAAGAATTGTCCAACTTTGAAAATTTAAATCTTCATTTGTATTACTATACAAAAACTTGGAAAATCAAATATTATAAACTGATTGCCTGAAAAATTGCTACAGTTTTTGTTTTTTCTTGATTTTTTCCGAGAAAAAAAATTGAAAAATCTAAATATCGCGAAAAGGTGCCCGCAGTCCATCTTTCAATGTTTTGTAGAAAAAGAAAAAAAAGCTTGTTGGAATTTAGATTGTATGGCTTTTGTCTTTTACTAGTATATTTTTTATGGTATTAAATGTTAGTGGTCTTATCTTGAGGCCTTTCCGACAAACATGACTTTGAAAGTATGAATTATTGCGTTAAATTATGGAGCTCTAAGGGACGTGCATTATTCATTAATAGGTATTGATTAGTTAACAATACACATTGCAGGTATATATACCCATAAAACAGTCGTTAAGCACACACAAAATGGTTTGTAGGGGATTTAATCTTTCGGGGCCATGCAAGGGGTATCGTTGTTATCGAATCTCAAACAGTGTAATTCATCTAAGATAAGAAAATATTTACCCAATATTTAAATATATACATATACAGTCTATGTAGAAGTTCGGTAGACGGGGATATTTTTTTCTAACAAAAGACATTTAAAGGATACAAAATATAATCACCTTTGGGATTAACGTGTGTCGAGCGATTCACTTGACGCGGGGGAACGATTTAGTGTTAGGTGTAGGAGTAAAACTTCTAACAACACAACACCACTTGTGTCTGGACCATGTACGGCGATCAACCCACGTACTGCGAACCCACCCCCACGGTCGTGGCCCCACCCAGACCGGCCTCCGCCCAGAGCTTCACCCCCGCGTACTTATGGAGTGACTTTGAACCCCCGGGCGTTCGCAGAGAGAGGTGATATTTGAATGAATTTTTGCTAGTCATGAGAGTTATTATCGCTTTCAGTGCACTTTAATATCGTTTCAGTGAATTTAATAATTTACTCTTGCACATATTGCAAAATATCGTATACAAGGGCGTTGAAACCGTAATTCGTCCATGTTTTTATTGAGCAATTTGTATACTTCTTTAGTAGATAGATTTTTAATATATGAAACTGAGATATTGAATCTTGCTTTTAGATTGATATTTAAGATAAGTCATGAGCAACTCCTTTATGCCTTTTTTATTTGGTTATATAGACCAAAGATTTTGAAACTTGAGTGAAAAATTTTAAGGTGTTTATTCTTTTAGGGGAAATTTGACCTCATCATAAATGCACTTTCAATCCGATTTCTAACCCATCGATCTGTCTTTACTCGCCATTAAAAACTTTGGTTTTAAATACAAGTAATTTCTATAGCAAAGTAATCTATTCTTATTGCCAAGGATGGAAAACATTGAATTACATTTATCATGTTTATTGACTTTTATTAGGAAGGGAAAATAAAATTCGAAATGGACAAACACCCTATAGGAGCTAAACAAATCGACGGCTTTAAAACCAAACTACTTCTTTGTAACCGCTCTTTAAAGATTTCTCAAAAAGTAGTTGGCATGCATTGTATACAGAGATTTTAAAAACAATCCCATGTGGATTTGATTGAAAGTATTTATCAATTTCTATAAATTAATTTAATCTGACTGTAATCGTGATCAGGTTCATTGTTCAGTTCTAGTAGAATTTCAGTTAAAGACAATTTCAGAGAATACAGTTTACTGCTTTATTTTATAGTTAGTAATTTAGTTAATTACTTCTATTTTGATTTTTGCGATGGTTGTCAAAATTACAAGTGAATGATATATGCATGCAAGATAAAGTTGATGAAATTAGAGTGATTTTAATTTCCACCTGATATACGCACAAATGAATTAGCACTTAAATTCCAGTTATTAAAATTTTACACTAAAATAAAATAATAGTGATTGTTTAACATAACAGAGCTAGTTAATTTTTGCTTCAATATAGTAAAGGTACGATCTTTTCATGTGCAAGTGAATCATTAAAATGCATAGTTTATACCCTTTTTAACTGTAACCTGTACGCCTTATTCAAGCATTGATTGTTGTTCTTTTGTTCGTTGTTAGGACAACATATGGAAACATGAACGATTGGATGAAAGTTTCCAGGAATGGCGTTCCTGTCACAATGTCAGATAATAACTGGCATAATCTAAAAAAGGTCAGTCTGTCACTTATCTCCCTTAAAAACAGAGAACAGGCACCTGACGTTACTTATTTTTCTTTTGATAAAAAAATACCCGTGCCTCATAATTCACGGTGAATTATTAGATAGGGGGTATATATTTTTTTATTTAAAAAAAAAACTATTGTCAAGTGCCTGTGGGTAAAGGATATAAAAATGTAAAGTATATTTATAAAAATTATACAAAGCCTAAACAAGATAGATTGTCGTCTGTGACGTCATAGTAAAATATCCAGTGACCCTAAGCAATTGTGACGTCATTGATTAAGAAATTTACCTACAAAATGCTTTGGTATGCGTCCCGACCAGGTTTAGAGGGCGGTGAAGGTGTGTGGTTCACACGTGTAAGTTTTTTCCCTGATTTTTTGCCAATCACAGATTCTTTTTACTATCAAACCCTTTATAATATTATTTTATTTAAAACATTCATTCTAGAGCGAACAAAAGGAACATGACTTACAGTTCAAGAAAGCCTTCAGTAATTTAACAAACAAAATCGCCTACAGATACCCAAATCCTGGAAATCCAAGGTAACTTTATAAATCATGTAAATGCTTGCTTTGATTTTTTCGTCCAGTTTCAATGTTTGATGTAAAGCCTATTTGTTTACCCCCAGACAAAGACAGGGAAGGATAGGTGGGAGCTGGAGACACATAAAGGAAGTCCTGGGTCACGGCGGAAGTCGTGTTGTCTACGTGGACGGTAAATGTTAATTATAAATAACAAAATTATTCCAGTAATTTTGTTTTTAAATCAATTTTATGCTTCTTTTAACTTTTAAGTTTTAATATATAAAGTCAATATGCTACAATTAATTTATATATATGCTTTAAATTGTTACAGAAAATATTCATTTCAGTAGCGTGTGGCCTTCACGCAGTTTTTCATTTTTTCCAATATTGTAATTAATATTTATCTAATCAATGTACTTCAGGTCTGATTAGTGTTTACGATTCAGAAAATTTCAACCAGGCATTGACATCACAAGTACCGATGATGCCACACATTAAAAATAAAGTATCCCCCGAGACCAAGCCGGTGGGCGAGTCCGTCAACTGTAAGTCTGTCTGTCTGTTCTGATGGCTCTCTTTTTCTTTAAGATCCCTACCGTCCCGAGGGGCCCGGCAGGCGCCTTGCCTTCTCTCCTACCCGTGCCTATTTTGACCCCTTCGTACCATTAGGTACATCCACTTGTGAGTCGCCTTGTAAGTCTAGACGCATGCGCTAGTCTGTGTCGTTTTAATCACGTGTCTCTCAAAACGTTGTCTTAGAATTAAAACTTACTCAGATTTCTATACTTAAATGTATTGAAAAATGATACACTTTTATATCTAAATTCACAGTAAAACTAATCCATTTGCATGGCAAAAAACGTCTTTTTCGTGCTTACTATGAGCTACATGTATTTTGATTAATCCAGATTGGATGACTGGAAATTTTCTTTAATTTTTTTATTACTATTAAACATATATATATATACACTGTATATATATTTTTTACTTTTTATCAAAATATTGATATTTTCATTTCTTTAAAATATCGTTAGCCCCTCAAAATTACATATCTTTTTTAGATCATATTTTTCATGTCCAGTGTAGAATACAGGAATGAGAATTAAGTATATACATGGATTTAACTAAACATTTGACTCACTTCATCGAATAGATACGTCCATTTGGTGTATGCAAAAAGTTTTCTTATTCAGTTGATGGATGTTTAGAAGTAATAAAAAGCTCCGTAATAGCATGCGTCTTCTATGTACTAGTATTTCTATTTATTTACATTCAACTGCATGATTAAAAAACACAGCAACGAATTAGATGGTGGACTAATGACACAGCTTGCAGTTGCTTACGTATTTAAACATATGCACATTTATGTTATATCAGTTATAAAATATATCTATTCATTTTATTCTTGTAATAGTTTGCTAGATTGTAGAGTTTTGTTATTTCAAGTGTCTTTTTCTTCTGTAAATTTGCAAAAATTTCCTACATCTAATTAAAAAAAATCAAACTAAGTATTATAATTGAGAGTAAAAATTAAATGAAAAAAATACGTTCAAATGATGACAGATTATATGCATACTTTGTCTAGAGGTACCATATTAACATGACTTGTCCTGATTTTCAGACCCCCCTGTCCAGCCCGCTTCCCCGTCTTACCAGGGAGGAGACGTCGCCAGAAAGATGGGTCTGAACGTGTCCCCCAAATACAAGGGATTCTACCGGTATGGTGCCAATTAAAGTCCTCACTTCCTCTCCATTATAGCAATGGAGAATTTATATCAGAACCATTCAGTATTTCTGACTTTTATTATTGCTCACATTTATGTATTTTATTTAAATTATATTTGTTTTGTTAAAAAAAGCCTTTCTCAGTTTATTTATACGTATTTTAATGTATTGTTCATATATGTTCAATAAAAAAAGTCATGTGATGAATTAACGAATGTTTTTTTGAAGTTACTAAGATATTTCAATGAAAGTTTATTCTAATGAAGTCTGTTAATTAAACTGTTAAAAATTGCAGTTCTGAATTGTATGCAGCATATACACAATGAGCAAATTTTTACATAATATATATTAATTTATAAAATCTTTTCTATATTAACTTTAAGGTTATTTAATACTCAAAATCTACTACTCAGTTTCCTAATTCATGATCACAAGAGTTGAGTAAAACCATTGCTTTCTTAAGAAGTGAATTATCCCGTACATTTATGTGCTTATTTAGACGTACATGAAAAATTTGGAGATAAGGAACAGAATTCTAGCTCAAAAGTCCATTAAACATAACAAAAGAGAAGAGCAAACATGGACCTCTATAGAACAACAGAGGTTGGATCAGGTGCCATGGAGGAGTGAGCATCTCCAGCCGACCGGTCACTCTCTAATAATATACTTATGAGCGTTAAAAAGGGAGAGAAAATAAATAGGTTCAAAGTTGCGCAAAACTATACGTGAATGTGTAATGTTACATTATAGAACACAGAAAGGAACTAACTGAATCTACTTTGAGACCTGCTTTACACATAATTTATTATACAGATCTCAGTGCTCATCTTTCTTCTTTTTTTTTCTTCTTATAATTGCAATTCTTGAGTTAAATTCATTTGAAACATATGGAGATAACAAACAGCATCCAAGACCAAAGGTCCATAAAACAATACAAAATAGGAGCAGAGCAAACACTGACCTCTGAAACATCAGAGGTAGTGTCAGGTGCCATGGAGAAGTGAGCATCCCCTGCTGACCGGTCACACCCGCCGTGTGTTCCTTGTCATGATCGGGAAATAACGGAAAAATCTGTCGTCAATGAAAAGCGTCAGTCAGCATTTGACTCAATGATAAATTGTATTTGCTGACAAGGTCATTGTATCGACCATAGAACTTACCAAATGATGACTCTAAACGAGACTGGTGATATTCTTGTTTCATCAACTTTGTTGTCAATAATTTACCTCATTTTAGAAATTGTTCATACGTAGAGCATGCTCTTGCGTATCGAGTCAACGGAGATATATAAACTCCGTATGCAGGTGATGAAAGTGTATTGCTGCACAAGTAAGGGAAGTTGACGATTGTAAAGTTAAAGTCATCACGTTTATCATAGAGCTTGGTTGTTAGATTACATTTAACATCTTTAGCTTTTTTTCAAGTAAAATGTCCAAATATGAAAAAAGATGTGTCCGATTCTGTGGTATCTTTTATCTCAAGCTCACCGGGATCTACGAGGGCTGTTGAATAAATAATGTCCTATGTGTTTGGAAAGGAACAAAAACGCTTTTCAATGATTACATGCAAGTCTTAATGATTCCATTCAAATATTCTCTTTTAAATAAAACACATGCCCGTAACATTTTTATCCAATTTCTGATAGTTTTAGAACACATTTTTGAGTATGGCTCTTCGTATACTGAAATATGACAGATCCTACAGGTTTCCTGGACTTATTTCTTCCTTCTGAAAGGTGTTTTTTTTCAAGTTTGGAAAATGAAACAAGTCAAAGGGTGAACTATTGTTGGTGTGACAAAACATTAACTATCTGTTTATCCCCAAAACTCGTTTATTCTTCATGGCGTGTGGGTTTGGACGCTGTCATGAAGAAATTCAGTGTAGTGGATTTCTGATTCTGGTTCCATCCTCTCAAAAACCTTTTTTTTTTTTTTTTTTTTTTTTTTTTTATTTAGAAGTTTGCTTTCTATACTTCTCCAGAAATTGATCTGCCTTCCCGAATAAGAATTTGAACAAAACCACTAATATGAAAGAAAATGGCATATGAAAGATTTTTTTTTTTTTTTTTGGCTTTTGCAATTTTTGCTCTTTTCAGACCTTGGCTATTTTTGTGGAGTGCATTTTATCGTATATATGTGTTTCGAGGGTTTAAGCAATGGATTCAAGTTTCATTATCCGTTTGAATTTCACAATGTCAATTTGTCAATTAACAATGGTTATTTCCATTCCTACGTCGATACGATATATCCTGGTGAGCTTGAGATAAAACTTTAAAAGATACCACAGCGTCTGACACATCTGTTTCATACTTGGATATTTTACTTGAAAAAGACGTTATGGTAATCTAACAACCAAGCTATATGATAAACGTGATGACTTTAACTTTTCTATCGTCAACTTCCCTTACTTATGCAGCAATATACCTTCATCACCTGCATACGGAGTATATATGCTAGTATCTCAGTTGATTCGATACGCAAATGCATGCCCTACGTTATCTCCATATCTCTCCCTATTGAACAGCCCTCGTATCGTATCGACATAAGAATGGAAGTTACCAATTGTTAATTGAAAATACGTCGTCGGTATGAGTTAATGAGATTTTTGTTCAGAATCATGGACTTAGACCCCTCGTCATTTCGACTGTTATAATAGCAAAAATAAGATAAAAATGTGATTATATGTTAACACACACACTTTATATGGTCTAAGAATTGATCACTTCACCATATAAGAAAAAAGGATTTACGGGGGGGGGGGGGGTTATCAGGCGAAAGGGGGTGCTTATTTTTATTTTTATTTTAGACACCTGATCCCACCTCTATTGTCTTTTGGTGTGTTTGTCACGTTGGCGATTCATATTGTTTTGAGGATTTACATTTGAGATTGATCCCTGTTCGTCTTTTTTTTTTCATTATGAAGTTCCCTTCCTAAACATATTGACATTGATTTAGGCAAGAGGTTACAATCCTTAAACATGACTGATTCAACATGAAAGCTTCATCATAAAAGAAAAACGGTTTGTATAATCCTTCAGTCATCTAAAGCACGAAGAAACAAGTGTTTTGTACAACATGTGTTTATGCAGATTTTCCTATATTTTCCTTTCCTTGGCTGATCAGCACACATGAATGTAACATGTGTCGTAAGTCAATTCCAAGCTGGTAGTGTCCATTGCCTCTAGTCTTCTAGTGAGGCCATTGCAAGATAAATTGTTCTTACTAATGTTGGAATGGTGCTTTTCTGCTGGTTAGTGTGTCGTCTGCTGTTGCCTCTTTGGTCGTCTGCCTCCGCGACCTCTTTGTACTCAAGAGACAGACAAGCCTTCGGTCTCTGTTTTGAGGAGGATTGTAAATCAGCTCACTTCAGCTACAATCGCTTTGGATGCCATGGTAAAGATTTTTTTTATGAAGTTCGAATTAATTATATCCGCATTTCACCAAAGATCTTTTACTCTTAAAAAATAATTTTTCAAAAACTAAGTGTCCAAATAAGGTTTTTGTGCAATGACTTTCATTTTATACATATCTGTCTTTCAGTTTTTGAATTACACTAACTCAAGCTTAGACAATTAACTATGAGGTGTACTGACTTAGATCCAAGAAACACAGTTTTTAACAAATGCACGCCATTCTTATAATTGTGACCCTGGTGTAAACTATGTGTGAATACAAGCCAAAATGAAGTATACACACAATATTTGATTCTTACCAAACAGAATCAGGATTTATTTCTCAAACTTTTCAGGGCCTTCACAGTGGCATCTGGTGACGTCATGTTGGCATGAATGTAATGGGCAATTTCAATCGCCAATCAACATTAAAACCCAAAACACAATAAACTGGCCGCATATTTCCTTACATTTTGTGAATCTGTGTACTAGAGTACCTGGGAAGATACGAAACAATGGTAGGGAAAAATATACAAAATTATACAGGTGTAGGGTATTTATTTCCTAAATGTATTTTCTCAAAGAATTTATTTAATGTCACGTTAAATATTGAGATAAGGACACTTAAAAATCCATCGAAACAATATAACTCTGGGATAGGAGAAACAAATAACTCTAAAACATCAGAGGTGGGATCAGATGCCATGGAGAAGTATAAGTAAGCATCCCCTTTCAATCTGACACACTTGTTGCGTGCTCGTTGTCATGAAAGGGCAAATGAAAAACTGGTACAACAATTATGTATGAAAACATCAGTCAGAATTCCTCTTAATGGCCATAGACGTTTTGGCTGACAAGATCATACTGTATCGACCATAGAACTTGCAAAATGATGACTTCTGATAATTTATGTTGCTTCATCTCCTTGTACGTTAATCTGTTAATAGCTTGCCTCATATAAGAAATTGTTTTATAAACTTCGCACGCAGAGCAAGGTTTTGCATATCAAATGAAATAGGTTATATTGCTGCATAAGTAAGCTAGGAAGTTGACGATTAAAAAGTGTAAGTATTCACGTTTATCGAAAAGTTTTGTTATTAGATTACATTATTTTTTTTTCATATGAAATGAGCTTATATGAAACAGATGTGTCAGACTATACGTAGTAATGAACATGAATATTGAACATTGAAAAATTATCGATATATATAGGTACCCGATCCCGTTTTGGATTTTCCAGGGCTACATAATATATGGTTATTTATAACAAGATGGCGAATCCACGTAACAATTCAAACTTTTTTTAAGGTCACTCCCCCCACTTCAGCACAGAATCACGTACTATTTCCCTCACAAACGTACCACAACGAGGGTCAGACAAGTACGTATTTGAGGAAATTCATTTTCACATCGGTACTGAAGAGAAACGGGGATCAGAACACTCTATTGATGGAGATTTCTATCCAATGGAGGTATACAATGCATTGAACAAATACATGTATGGTTGAAAAAATTGATACACATTACATTGAAGAGAAAACACAAATTCATATAGATGTTTTCTTTGATGTTACATGAAAAGGTGAACAGGTTCAAAGCGGTGCATCTTTATTGTTTTTTACATTTGAAGTTTTCTTTTCATTCTAGGCTCATGTCGTCTTCTTCAATGATAAATACAAAAATGTAGGCGACGCAAAGGACATGGAAGACGGACTGGTCGTCATTGGTATAATGGTCGAGGTAAATCTCTCATT